TGGCGTGTAGTCATGTAAAATAAAGTGATGTTCGATGAATTCTCAGGATCAGTAAAAGTTTCTGGCTGACAAATGATGTAAGTTTGGCGTTTTGGTTAAACACAGCCTGCAGTTCAGCTGAACACTCTCAGAATCTGTTGCACTTGACTGCTTCCTGCATCCGAGTCAGTCGTGGCTGTACAGTTGTGGCAATCAGAACAGGTTTTTTTTTAAACTTCTTTAAAGAATCTGGTCAGAGAAAATACATTTTTGGCACTTTTTAAAAATGAGAAACGTAGAACAAAGCAATTTGGATGAAATGATTGAATGTAACAGACGAGTAGTTCAAGGACTGTCCGAAAGTTGAAAAATTCTCACTTCTTGTTGTTTCTGGCTGATGCACCGCCTGCAGTTCAGAAAAGTCCCTGGATTTTTGTCATGTGACTGTTGGTTACAGCCGAGTCACTTCACGGTTGTCAAGGAGCACAGAATTTTTAGTGTTTTTAAAGAATCTGGTTAGAGCAAACCGTTTATTTTTGGCAAATGTTTAAATGAGACACGTAGAAGAAAGTGAAATATGATTTGAAGCTTAAACAGAGGGACTGTTGGGAAGGTGAATATCCAAAGATTTGTTTCTGTTTTTACAGTTTCTGGCTCTGATAAAAGGTGCAATTTGGGTGATTTTTAAAAAAGAAATCATGTCTTTTAAACGTGCCGGTGGGGTTTGGGGACTTAGAGGACTAAATAACAATATAAGCAGTTATCAAGGTGCATTATAGGACTTGGTTTTTGAGTCTTGATCTGCTTTTTTCTGTAAATATAACTGTGGTAGGTCGCCATACTTAAGCAGTGCTACATCGGTGTAGTGTCCCTTTAAGCTAAGAGTAAGAGCTCATCCAAAAATCTGGAATAAAAGAACTACATTTCTCTTGATTTACCATCTTGTTGTGTCGGTTTCCTTGTCAAACTATCCCTGTTGCACATCAGGTAATGAGAAAAAGTAGCAAAGAAAAGAAAAAGACTTTCTCTTTCCTTCTTTGAGGCACAAACCGAACAGTCTGTTAACTTCGAGATGCTGTCATCCACCTGTGATCCCCTGAATATCAACCGTACAGCCAAACAGAGGCTTCACATGAAACAAAAATGAACAGAGAGAGTCCAGTTCCTTGATAATCTTCCCTTTAAACCACTGTTGTGTTTCTGGATTGTTGTGTTTCTGCTGAGGCAGTGATAAACTTGTAACTGCAGCTGAGGAATAAAGCAGTGACGACACGACACGTGAAGTGAATATATGAAGGAATTACGGGTGTTTGGAGTCCAAGAGCGACGGTTTTGTCAGCATTTCATTGTAATTTGTGCACGCGTCAGTGATATTCTTTATTTTTCTTGGCAGCAAATCAAAAAAAAAGAAAGACCAACATCTACGTTGCATTTCTGCCTGTGGCTCACAAATGGGAGGAAAACAGCATGTTTGGGACTATTTTCAGCGGCGGATTAATCCACATTTGCTGCAGCAGAAGGTATATTTAGGATTCAGCCCAAAAAAAATGCAGAAATGATGTGAACTGATGTGTTTTATTTGATTTTGGCACAAAGAAATAAGCTGCTTATTAGGGATTATTAGTCACCTTGTGGGATTTGCTGTCAAGACAAAATAAACTGAATGCCACCAGACGTCTCTTTAAAGTGAACATTAAAACCTGCAGCTGATTCACAATAAGGTCAGTGTGTCCTCCCTCTGAACTGCACTAACATCAATCCAAAGTGCTTGATAATTTCCTCCACCCATCCCACTAAGTATATTTTGTTCAGACTGTGTGCACAAAATAAAGAATAAGAGGCCAGGAATGAAGCTATATGAGGTATATCTGGCGTGCACACTCTGCCCCCTCGTGTTTTTAGATGTAGTTGAATAAATATTTGGCTCCGACTCGGTAAAAACCAAACGTACCACAGCGTTGGTCTGAGAAACGTCTCTGTGGAGGATTGTTAAACCTAGCCGTGAAGCGCCAAACACTTCCAGCTGTTCCCTCGTCATCCTCCAGGTCAGATGCTGTCGTAGTCGGACTCCCGCCGGTGGGACTGAGCGACGCCTTCGGCCACGAAGAAGGTGACGGAGCCCAGAAAGCCAGCGACGACGAGGATGAGCAGCTGCCAGTGCAGCAACAGGTAGTTGCTGTAGAAGAAGGCCAGAGCCGCCATGATGGACTGAGGAGGAAACGACAGGTTAATGCAGCTCAAGCTGAAGCTGGATTTCTGTGTAGTTCCGTGGATGTGAAGGTCACCTGGATGAACTTGAAGACAGCGAAGGCAGGAGCGCTGTTGTCTCTGAACAGGAAGCCGATGATGCTGAGCAGCTGAGTGTTGAAGCAGCTGTCACCCAAACCGAGCAGGAAGCTGCAGAGCAACGCCACGCCCAGGCTGCAGCGCAGACATTAAAAGATAAGATAAAATGTTATGAATCCTGGAGAGAAATTCTTCTGCCAGAAAAATACAAATGACGAAATAACAAAATAAATGCAGTGGCTAAAAGTAGAAAGCAATAAGACGTAAGTACAATACATTATTGAAATAAAATAAGTAAATACAAATAAGGCTCGAGTAGAACAGTGAAGAGTCAAGCTGGCGATTCAGTAACATCACACATGACAACGAGGACTGTACCAGAAAAATGAGATGAAAATGAATCACACATTCAACTGAAATATTGCATCTGAGAAATGAAATATTGTACATGACTTACTACACACGATACAGAAACTGATATTGCACAAACTACTGAGCAGTAATATTCATTTTTACATTTTAATTTAAAATCTTACTTTGTATTTTTGACGGTTTGTCTTGTGTCTTTTAAAATATGTTTGTTCGTGTAATAATGTTATTTGCCGACTATTTGTTCGATATTTTTTCTTCATTAGCTTTATTTTTTCTTTTACTGCTTTTTCTTTGATTGTTTAATCAATTTTAGTCTTTATTTGTTTAATATATTGACATTTTTTATTTCCTATTTCTTCGTTTTAGTTGTTTAATAATTGCATTTGCATAGTACTTTGTATTTATTTAAAAACAATCCTTTTTATCTGATATTTCTTTTCATTTAATAACATTTTTATTGTTTTTTGCTAGTTCTTATTCTATTTATTTGCAAAATAAGTTTTTATTGTTTAATAAATGTTTAATTGATTATTTACATAATTAAAAAATCCTTTTAATTGGCTTAATAACTTTTATTTGCTTAATATTTTGTGCTTTTTATTTTTTTGTTTAATATTTGCAGATTTTAAAAAATGTTGAATAGATTTTTATATTGTATATAATTATTTTTTTTATTTTATTAATTATTATGTTGTATTTGTTAAATCTTTTGTTGGTTTAATCATTTTGGTTTTTATTTGTTTCTTTTTTTTAATAGTTAAAAAAAGTGTACCTAATATGCTTTTTATTTTATTGTGTAATATTTTTATAGTCTTTATTTGTATTTTTTATCTATTCATATTTTAATAATTACTTGACATTCTTTCTCTTCTGAATTGTTAATTATGTAATTTTCTCGCTACTGAATGAGTCATTTTTTAAGCTGCTTCTAGTTTCTAAAATTGAGATCTGCTGCACACTTAAAACTTTTCCTTTTTAAATCCAGTGAGAGTAATCGATCTGCCTCATGACACTTGAACAGACTGAACACAACACTACAGACATTTTCCAGGTGAGCAGTGAGTTCTTTCTGTCAAACACCTGCTGGTCACCTGACAGCGTTCTCACCTGGGGCTGATGTAGGCCTGCAGGTCAGTTCCTGCTTCAGGAGCCAAAGGAGCGTCGCTGGCAATGTTCAGGAAGATCAGGTAGAAGGCGACGTAGTGCGTGATGAGTCCGAGCAGAATCACCGGGTTCCTCCCGAAACGATCGTTCTTGTTCAGCATCCCGAAGACGCCCCCTCCTGGACACACAGTGCAGCGCAGAGAGACAAACTCTCAGGATGGTTTCTTCTTCTTCTTTCTGTAGAACTTCAATTAATGAAACCTGGACTCACCTAAGATCTCTCCAATACCGATACAGATACCAGAAATCCCGATCAGGCTCTTTGCATCCTGACCGAAGCGCGTCATGGCTCCGATACACGTCCCGTAGACGCCGCTGTAGAAGGTGAGCTCCAGGCCTGTCGGGGCAGAGTCAGGTACATTCTCAGTTTTAGCTTGATTTAAAGAGCTGTGCAAAAGATTTAAACCCTTCAGATCTTCGTGTTCTCATCCATCACCGTCTGAACGTCCTGAATTCATCCTGCAGCAGGTTGGAAACTCTGATAAAGAACCACATTCAGCTGTCTGAATCAGTTAGTCCGGATCACATGAAGAGACTCGGACCGAATCCACAGAACATCTGAAGAGTTCATCAAGATGCGACAAAACCAGTTCAATACAAGTTCAAAATTAAGCTTAAAACAAATCTAAAACAAGTCCAAACCCATGTTTAAGACCAGTATAAAGAGCAAGTTTCAACCAGTCCAAAACTAGGTCCCAAATTAGCTAGAAACAAGTCTTAAACCAGCCTAAAACCAGTCAAAATGCATGTTTGACACCAGTCCAAGGAGCAGGTTAGAACCAGGTAAAAACTATGTCCAAAACCTAAGACCAGTCCAAAAGCAAGTTTAAAACAAGTAGTTAAGAAGGTCTAAAACAATATTGGAAACCAATGTTAAACCAGTCTAAACCCAAGTTTGAAACCAGTCCAACACATACATCTGTCTATTTTTCATTTTCCAGCTAATTTATCTTTTCCAGATCATTGGAGACACTTTATCCCGTCAACATGTTTTGTCCATTCCATCCACTTCTTCATACAAATAATAATACATGTCACCTTTTTATGTTGTTTTCTCTCGATGCTGATACATATATTTTTAGATTTCTATGCAGTTTGTTTTTGCAACCACTCAATTATTTTCAATATATTTATATAACAGATGCTTATTTCTTTGTTCTTCCAACATTTCTCTGCATTCCAACAGAAAGCCTAAAACGACAGTCAATACTGAACAAAAGTGTAGCAGCAGGTTTGTGTTGAACTCACCTGTGTATCCGATGGAGACGCTCAGCAGCAGCATTTCTTTGGTGACAAACATTTTACAGGCTTTAACTGCAAACAACAAAGTGGATTTTAATCGCACAGTTCAGTTACAGATGTAAAATAAATGCGATTTTAACAAACTTACTGAAAGCGTCCAGAGCCTGAGAGCAGATTCCTGCTGGAGGCGAACTGCAAGAGAACGTAAAGCATCGATAAATATCTGCAGTGTGTAGTTGATGTCACTGATATGACGGCATGAATCTTTGTGTCCGTCGGCCTTTTACAGGCTCGTTCGTCTTCTTCGGACACCTTCACCTTCCAGCTCATCCCTAAACTGCTCTGGGTTGCCGCGGCGACCGTATCACAGCAGTTTCAAAGAGAAATGTAGGAAGCACAACAAAGGATAGCATTTACAGTGAAAGGTCGCCTGTCTGCTCCTGCTCCTGCGACGCCCATCTGTCTTCTAAAAAAGTATACTTTCTGCAATATACGGAGATCATCTGTTTTAAAACACGTCAGGCGGCTCGAGAGGCGCCAACAGACGTCCTGACAACAAGACAGATATTAATAATCAAAGGCCAGCAGCACTGAACTCAACCAAACCAAATGCTAAAGGACAGAAAACGGTTCGTTTTCCAGGAGTCTAATTTTAGTTTAGACAGAACACAAATGTTTAAAATAACTCACTCAGGATGCAGGGAGCCCACATCTTTTAGCCCTGATATACACAGCGTTGTCCTGGTTTCCCTGAATGTAATGTTAGCCTGAAATACACCAGAATGGTCCTTTGACTTCACGCATCAACGCTGTGAAAACATCAGAGCTGCAGCAAATGTTCACTTTCATACCTGATCAATGATCTGACCCCCAAAACCTGCCGACAAGTTTGAAATGCATGTCATCTTCACACAATGGCAAACTGAAACCGGTCTTAAACCAGTCCAAAACAAGTCTTAAGTTGATCCTAAACCAGTCCAAAACCAAATCTGAAACCAATCCAAAAAACAAGTTTAAAACAGTATTTGAATCCAATCCTAAACCAAGCAAAAACCAGGTCTTAAACTAATCCTAAATCAGCCGACACCCCTATTTGAAACCAGCATACAGGGGGTTCAGAAACAATGTTTAAAACTAATGTTAAACTCATCCGAAACCAATTTTAATACTACTCCTCCAACGGCAAGGTTCGAAAAGCACGTTATCTTTAAAACGTTAGCTAGAAACTGCAGAAAGAGAATCAGTTTCCCCCCATCATGAGCTACTCGTGTGTCACATATGGTTCCATCAGGAAAACTAAGCAAATCTCAGCCTAGAATTCTAAATATTTTATCAAAATCTAAAATCTTGTTCCATTTTCTTTCCTTCAGATCAACTTCCACACTGTTGAAACTTGATGAAGCTGCATCTGTGAGCATCAAGTTTCTGTCAGTTTCCATCAGAGATGTCATAATGCTGAGTGATGAACCCATTTGAATAAAACCAAACAGCATGTTATGATACAGTAAAGAGTCCCATAAACACCCGGATCACTCACCTGGCTGTGGAGTTCTCGAAGGATTCTGGCTCCAGCAGCGACTCGGTCACTTCCGAGGGAGAAGAAGAAGACTCTGGGTCGGGTTTCCGGATCAGGAAGAAGAGGAAGCAGCCGACCAGACTGATGACGGTCAGAGAGATGAACACCGTCTGACGGTCTTTATCTGAGACAAACGTGAGTCACAGTGAAACTATGAATAACAGTAAACTCACATGAAGCAGAGGTTTCAGAAAACACGGCTGTTTTTTTTTACCTGTGATATGGACATGTCCGTGCCAGGCGCAGTAAATGTAAAGGTTTCCAAGGAATAAGCTGCAGAGAGACGACAGACTCTGAAATACTGTCATTTAAAAAGCACGCATACATCTCTAATTATAAGCAAAAGGAGAATGAATTAGTGTAACAGTTTGCCTCAGTCCTGCTGAGAAAACCAGAGAAGATGCTTCTCTTTCATGCATTTGTTTGAAACTTAATACAAAACTATTAATTATCAGTGATATCTGTGAGAATGTGCAACAACAACATAAAGAAAATCACCAACGACACTGACTAGGCCCAGAGTAGGACATAAAATGACCAAAAAGGCACTTAATGCGTCCAAAACAAGATGCAAAATGACCAGAGTGATATCAAAACTAACTACAAGGTGATGAAAATGACTAAAAATTCCCTGAAAATGACCAAAAAGACACTAAAAATGTCCAGAGTCAGACACAAAATGACAAAAAAGAAAGTGAAAATACCCAAACAAGACAAAAAGTTTTACCTGAACTGCAGCAGTGCCCAGAAGATGCCGCTGTTCCTTCCGATGGTGCGGTCGGTGGAGTTGATGGCGAGAACGTTTCCTTGAGCCGTCCAAAGAACTGGGGAGCAAAGAAAAGGGTTTCATCAGTGCAAAAACAAAAGATTTTTGCAGGTGAAATGTTAGTCAGGGAAAGTCTCTGTACTTGCAGCTCCGATCCCGACCAGCACCGACGCTGTGTAGAAGCTCCAGGTGTACGGGTGGATGAACATGGCGATGTAGCCGCTGTGGAAAACAGTGAAAATGAACATCAGGAGCCCGTTTCAGGCTTAAAAAGGTTGGACAGTGCAGGTGAGCGTGGACTCACCTGTACAGAAGTCCACTGAAGAACATGGAGAGCTGAGGCCCGATGACTGTCACCACCGAGGGCGCGATCAGGTTGGACGCAGAGAAAACTCCATAGATGATGGACATGCTGCAGAAACACATTAGTTTACGTTAAGACTGACGCATTTCACTGAAGATGTGCTTTAGATTAAACCCTCTGGACCACAAAACCCACCAAAGCTGTGTTTAAAGGTATGTTTTCTTTCAAATAAATCACAAAAGTGACACCATTTATCAGGCAGAAGGAATCATTTCATTTTCAGCTTTCTGACAGTCTATGAACGTAGTAAAATGAACCAAATCCAAGCTCGAAATTGTGATATTTAATTTAAAATTGTAAAAAAATAAAAATAAAAAATCGAACTACAGCAAACAGTTTGATCTCCTCCAAGCATCTAAGAAGGCCCGACTGATTCAACTGTGTTTAAAAGTCGTGACAAAAATTCAGAAAGTTTTCAGGCTGAACTGCAGGCAGTGTTGACATACAAACGTACTGGATCAATAAAACATATGCAGCAAGTTGTTAGGAGATATATCCATCATGGTGAAACATCCTCATATAGCCGATGTGACACAAAATGACAGAAATAAGACAAATCAGAACAACAAAAATGTCAAAAACGAGACAGAGAACGACAAAATGAGACACAAAGTGAAGACAAAGACGTATGAAATGGCCAAAATGACAAACACAAGATAAAACGACAAAAACAAGACAAAATAGGACAAAAAAAGAGACAAAGCCATACAAACGAGACAGACAACAACAAAAATGAGACACAAAAAACACAAGACACAAAACTGAGACATTAAGAGAGATCAGGAGACGAGGAGATTTGGCTGATTTTTTGCTGAATATTCCAGAAACCTCAAGAAGAAGTTGGAACTTGTAATCATGTCAAAAGCTTATGCTGATTTTTCTTTCTTCTTCTTTTTTTTAAAACAGAAATTAAAATACTAAAAATCTAGAATCTATCATCAAAATGAAAAATCTTTAATTTTCAAAAATTAATCTCTTCACTCAGTTCCAACTACCAGAATGTCATTTGGTACTACACCAAAACCTGACTGCCACAGGTCTTCCTAAAATCCACGTTTTAGGACATTTTAAGAGCATTTCTTTTCAGGAAGGATTGTTTTGATTTCTTTGAAACTTCTTGAAGGAGATGTCTTCATATCCACTGAAAAAATATTAAAAAATTAAAGATAAGACAATCCATGACCTCAACTAGGAGGGCGTGAGCTGGCATGGAATGACCCAGATTCTCTAAAACATCCATCCATCCATCCATCCATCCATCCATCCATCCATCATCTATACACCGCTTAATCCTCACTGGGGTCGTGGGGGCTGGAGTCTATCCCAGCTGACTCAGGGCGAAGGCAGGGGACACCCTGGACAGGTCACCAGTCTATCACAGGGCTACACTTAGAGACAGACAACCAAGCACACTCACATTCACACCTACGGACAATTTAGAATCACCAATTAACCTCAACATGTTTCTGGACCTTGTGGGAGGAAGCTGGAGAACCCAGAGAGAACCCACGCTGCACGGGGAGAACATGCAAACTCCACACAAAAAGACCCCTCACCGGGACGCAAACCGGCGACCTTCTTGCTGCGAGGCAACGGTGCTAACCACTGAGCCATCTTGCAGCCCTCTCTAAAACATAAATAATTAAATCTCTATAATATGTGGAGCCTTTGTTTATTTCTGGTGTTGACACATACGGACACTTTTTTTTATTTTTGTCTTTTTTTTTAAAACATGATTCTGTCATTCTAACTGTGTCATACTGACAGAAGACATTTCTGAGTTTTCTCCTCCGTCATGGTCGTTCTGTTTCCACTGAGGTGAAGGACTTTATTGCTGCAGTAAAAAATGAGTCCACAGTGAAGAAAAATATGGCAGAACATCCATAAACTGCTGCCTGGAGTTTAGAGCTGAAGTTTGGTTTCTGGAAATCCTGACTGACTGTAACCTTTGTTCCCTAAAATAGTTCATCTATAATTCAATTATCTGTCAGGAGTTTCTGACTGATTTAATTTTGCAACCAGGTCTGAGACTCTTCCTCACCTCGTGTATCCGCTGCCGTGGAACTCAGTGCTGTTGAAGCTCTTGATTACAGTTTGCTGTAAAGTTGAATAAAAACCACGTATTAGATTTAATCCTAAATTATGTGTAATTCATCTGGAATATGCATCAGTAAACGTACCTCTATGTTGCCACATGTTTGAAAAGCAGTGAACATGAACATGAAGCCAAAGCCGAGGATGACGATGTTTGAAAGCCGCTTCCCTTCTGGACTCATTTTGGAGGATATTTAAATTCCTTGAGGAAGTGAATGAAGTAAAAGAAGAAAAAAAATCTATTGCGGTGGGCAGCACATCTGAGAATAGAAATAAAGGAAGTGCGAATCAGAAGAAATGTGGAACATCCAAGAAACCTGCATGATTTACAACAGAAACTTAGAGAATAAACAAATAAAAACAGAATCCTTCCTCAACCAAACTCCATTCAGAAATCTCTTGTTTTAGCGCAGACTTGTGATTTCACAGTGTACACTGATAATTAGCGCTGCAACTTATAATAATCTTCATTGTCGATTAATCTGTTGAATTTTTTTTCTGACGCTTTACAAAATGTCAAAAGAAAGTTTCCCAAAGCCCAGGATGATATCCTTACATGTTTTACTTCGTCCACAACCCAAAGATTTTCAGTTTACTGTCATAAAGGAGGAAATGAGCCAGAAAATATTCACACTCAAGAAGCTGCATCTACAGATTTTAGACCGTTTTCAATTTAAAAAAATGTAAAATATTTGCCGATTCATTTATTAGTTGATAATTACTCAATGAATGGAATAGCTGCTGCAGCTCTACAGACAATTTGAAATATAACATTTTACAGAGTAAAAACCTTATTTATATAAAGTAATAAGGATTACAACTTGTTTCTGACAACTATCAATGTGTTTTGGTCAATAAACAGTCTTAAAATTACAATCAAGCGCAAAGTTATACTAAGATTTCTTTTAAATTAGTGCACTTTGGTTCAAGTATGATATGCCGAGATCTAAAGTGGATCATCTGGATTCTGTCAACACCTAAATATTTGTTATATCACACATCATATTTGACGACAAGCAAATTCATCTTAAATTGGCAGGTTTTTAAACGGGGGGTTGTACAATTTCTTGAAACGCAGAAACCAAAATTAACGAAAACAGCAGCTAATAGAAATAAAGAAAAGTTTGCTGCCATGTGAAGGAAGTCAAGATTATTAAATCAAGCGTAAGAGACAAACCAGAACTTACCGACAGAGCTGGATCCGTGAAGCTAACCGGGCTGGTGCTCTTTGTGCGGATTCACGCTGAGTTTAGTGACATAATTAGCTGTTTTTATCAACTCTGACTTGTTTATCCGGTAAACTCTTCCGTCTGGTTCCTAAACAGACTCTAACATCGCGGCTCTGTCGCCCAAAGCGGATTCTTTGTGGGAGTTTCGCCGGTAAACAGGAGAAACTAGATGAGACGGTCATGTGAAGGAGTCAGCTGACTGCACTGCGGTCTTCTTCTTCTCTGGTGTTTATTAGCGGCTGCAAAAACAACATGGAGGCTGAAATTTAGCGCCTCCAGGTGGTAGAGTTTGGAACTGCAGGTCCAGAATTTACAACAGTGGTCCAGTTCATAAGTTTAAATGATTGTTACTATTGGTCAACATGCTTTATAGTAAAGATTTGTGTTACAAATTAACCTAACAAGTTTAAATATCAGGGTTAAGACCTGACAGCTTTATTTATGGAATGATTTCACCTGAGTTATTTACAAGTTGGCGAACAAAACCATACATATATATATATATATATATATACAACTGTGTTTAACTGTGTAGTGTGTTTCTTTTCAGCCCATTTTCCTCTTGACAGACTGTAAACATGGAGGACAAATAGGTTTTATCATCGTTTTCTGTCTGTGAAAAATTCCCTTTTAACTCCAGTCTATCGACACTGCAGATAAAATTTCAAATTTAATTTCATGAATTTAAAGTATTTCAGAATTCAATAAAAACTTTATTTAAAAAACAGAATGTACAAAAATAATAGTTACTTTTTCTCAACATTTAGGAACAAATTTGTTGATATTCTCGATTTTTAGTTACAGAATATCAACAACAGATTCCACAACTCCAACAGGAAATCACTTTAACACATAAACACATAAAAACAAGTCGTTTTGATTCCATCCTGCTGCCACAGACACATCACCACACGTGGATTAATCCGCCACTAAAAGTAGTCCCCATCTACTTCCTCCTTCCTGTTTATTAACAGAGGAGCATTTTCTGCAGCAGATGAGACAAACATGTAGATTCTTGGCTTGTTGTCTTTCAGGGATCAGAATTTAAACCAACAATGAGGTTCTCAGTCAGCAGCTGTTTCTGCAAACACCACCTGGTTTCATGACAACATGAATTTAAGGTGGATGAAAGTGAAGCACTGAGTTTGGGTCACATCATGTTTCTGGTGTATGAAGCCACGTCCAGCAGAGACTTGTGCTTTATTTCACCCTGTTTTATCGCAGTATGTAGTAAATTCTCACTACAACAGTAAACTGCTCACATGTTGTTTACGGTCTGATCAATATTTGTTTAATTGCTGCATCAGGAATGTGGCGCTACATCCTTTGTTGAAGGTTTAAAAAAAAAATGCTTTAGGCGCGTTTTGCACCGCGGTTAAGTTGGTGTTGGACTTGGTGATGGGCCGGTATTAGAATTGATTTGGACTGGTTTTAGGTGGGTTTTGGACTTGGTGTTTGACTAGGTTTGGACTGGGTTTAAGAGGGTTTGGAATTTGTATTGGACTTGGTGTTAGACCAGTTTTAGACTGGTTTTGAACTGGTCTTGGTGATGGACTGGTTTTGGACTGGGATAGGCTGCTTTTAGACTTGGCGTTGCACAGGTTTTAGGTGGGTTTTAAACTAGTTTCGGATTTGGCGTTGTACTGGTTTTAAACTGATTATGGACTGGTTACAGACTAGTTTCAGATTGATTTTAGGGTCTCACACTGGCTGGATGTCACAGGTACTACAGCTAATCTACAATACCTGAAGTGTGTATTTTCAGGAAAATGGTATCAGATTGGGACTCTGCAAATACTAAATATTAAAGAATTTGGATCAGGAGCAAATAACAAACTCATCTCTACTTAGAAAATATACAAAATATATACAAAGATCAACGATACATTCAGATGACTGATCTGCCTTGTCAGGAGAGAGACCAAAAACACATGACTGCAGCATCAGGTGTAAACTAGTATAAATACACAAGATAACAAAAGGAGAAACAGGAAATTATTTAGTAACTGAACTCACACTGAACACCTCTGCTGACGAAAACAGGCAGTAAAAATGAGCAGTAATTAACAACCAGGTGGTACAGCTCATCTACAACACTTCAGTGTGTATTGTCAGGAAAATGGTATCAGATTGGGATTTTGCGGACATTAAATATTAAATGACTCAGACTGGATCGGGACATTCAAACACACCAGCTTTGCTTGAACTTTAAGGCGAGTTTCCACCTGAAACATTCAGTTCTATAGACTAACTTCTGTGACCTGTAAAGACGAGACAGATCAGTCAGCTGACGTTTCAAAAGCCAACGTCAAAAATGACAAACCTAATGAGGATTCGTCATCTCTAATTCCTGCTGGATAAACGTCCAACAAGTCCTGAACTTCAGGATTTCTTCTGAAGCTCTGTGATGTGTCAAAGCACAGTACACAAAAACTATATAAACTAGTTTGCAGCTGCAGGTTTTAAAAAGTCACAGACGGTTTTAGATACAGAAAGTTCTTCATGTTTCAGGATCTTCATGTCGACCCTGATTCCTGCAGTGTAAACACAGATTTAATGAAACGTCAATGAAAACTGAAGGCACTACCAGCTGCTTTACACGTGTGAACAGCAGGCGATCGATTTTTTTCAGTCTTTGAGGTCATATAGACGCTGGCTTGTTAAGGCGGCTGCAGACCTTAATGTCTCTGTAAACTCTCTAATGAAGGCATGAAATTAAAAGCATGTTTGCTGTAAACCAGCAGTTTGTCTTCTACTTGATCCTGATCTCAAAGCAGAGGCAGTTACAGGATTCACACTCTGGAGGCTGACAGGTGCAGGCACAGTCCCACCGATCACACTGTGACAAAACACAACAATTTACAGTTTATATCTGCACCTTTTAACCGGTATTATGTGTTAAAGCTGCTGACAGAGAGTCTGAGGTTTACTTACAGAAGGAAAAGAACAGGAAGTGGGCAGGAAGGAGTCCACAGTCGGCATCTTACAGTCGCACATCACAGCTAATCTGAAGCACTGCTCGCAAATAGAGACGCTGGGACAGCAGTCAGTGCAAACTGAGGAACAGCAGTCCTTTAAAAGAGAAAACAACAACAGGAAACAACAGGAAGCAGCTCTTTTAGTTTGTTTCACTGTGTTTTACATATATGACTTCAGTAAAGTCTAAGCCAAAATCAAACTGAGACTCTAATGCAAAGACAAATTAGCGAATTAGTGTTATTAGTGTTTAATTTTATGACTCGAACAATTTGTTCCTTATTGCTGGTTCTGAAAAGTTTCCCTGCAAGACTCTGGCTGTCATCTACCATTTTTCAGTCCTGTTTTTTCAAAACATAGTCAAAACCCTTCAAATTCTCACTTTCTTTCCTTCTCTGCTTCAAGTGACTCCAAAGCAAACTTGGTTTTCTCAGTCTACACTCTTTCAAGGTCTTCACTATGTGACGTGCAAGTTTATGAAACTGAACTAGCCTTGAGGTAGGAGCGGATACACAGTCCGATCCCCAGAACCACCATGTACAGACTGATTGTGATCAGCAGAATTGCAGGCAGAGGGATGGAGAGCTGCCAGATGGGCAGAACCTGCAGAACACAACCAACAGAACATGAAACATCCAACAGCCGACACATGAACAGACAAAACACAGAATACATTCGCACAAAATAAAGTATAAATAATGTGCACATTTCTTACCTGCATTGTGTCTTTCTGAAGATAAACCTTTAACTGTCACAGAACTCTGTGGGAACCTGACAAGAAAAACATAGAGATAAAACCTGCTCCTTTATTGCACTTTTTTTTCTTGTTTTGTGTATTTTGGAGGTTTATAGAGTAGCAGTTAAACATTTGGGGCCACAAATAAACTGACTTTATTTATACCATTTTTGCAGTGTAGAACAAAAGGTGAATTCATCAAAATGATGATGTTAAAGCCAAAAAAAAACAAATTTCATATTTCAATAATACTCAACATCTGAAATGATTCGTAGTTAACAGGTGGTTAAAAGTCATCTGATGGAATTTATTCCTTCTTAATGAGACACCAGGCATTATAATAACAACATAAAGACCCACCAGAACACCAGTTTTTGTTTCCTACCAGTGAGTCCACATCAACATTTAGTCAAAACAGCTAGAAACTGGAGCTTTGTTTTGCCATATTTGCCACATATCAAATTCTACTGATGTTAGAGGCCTCAAAAGTTGGTGAAATGTCAACTACAGACTGTACTTCTAATTAGAAACTCGGATACATCCATATATGTACACTTACAGGAACTTTCTGGGGACACAATTCCACCGTGGTTAGAAAACGTTGCACTTTATTCCGTTTTGAAGGGCCAATAATTAAACATTAGTCCTCCACTGAAGCCATTTAATCACTTAGATCTGCTGGAAACTATTCTGTCTGTGTCCTCACCAAATTTCATAGCTGTGGGCAATAAAAATGTCTTCCCAGGTCTTTACCTTCATCATGCTGATCTCATCTGATCCATGTTGAATCTCCATGCTTAACTATAGACTGACACTAACAGTTAAAAAATCACTACTATCTCTCATTCCTTATGAACCTGTTTTTTCTGTGTTTATTCTGTTGTTTATGGCAAATCTGTAGCTGCTGGCAGTTAAATAGCTAAATTATCAAACGTACTAAAACAAAATAGTGAGTCTAAATTATTACGAACACTTTAATGACGCTAACAAAGTGATTACAGTCCTTGCAGGCGATGAAAACAGCAGTTTTATAGAAAAGATCAGAGCAACGTTGGGAGCAGTTGACTGTTAGCTAAAAGCTAATGGAGCTAACGGAGCTAGCAGACACTGACCGCTGCGCTGCTGAGCTTCTCCGGAGACGCAGTCTGAGCTGAAACCGCTGGAATGTCTGGAGCAAATCTGAGCGCATCTGACACCCTTAATGTTTCAATGGAGGAGAAATGCCAAGTGTGTGAAGCTGCTGCTGAAAACAAACTGAAGCAAGCGCTATGGCGGCGGCGGCGGCGTTGCCACGGCGACGGAAGGATACCGAGAAGAGGCAAAAAAAATTTTAAAAAAAAAGCAAACGCGAAAACTCATTTCCTTCACCGACGTCGTGAACTGGACTCAGAAAGACTCAAAGGTCCCTTCATGGCCACAAGATATATACAATTCAAACTTGTTTTAAGTTTTAAAAGTGCTTGAACGGACAAAATAAAAGCAGGATACCTAGAAGGTAAAACACTATGATTCATACATCACATTTTATATTTTTGATTTATTTATGATGTTTGTTTTTTTGTTTTCCCTGAAAAGTATTGAGGTAATTTATTATGTGAATTTCAATGTCTACAATAATATTTACTAGGCAAATTCATATGACTACTTTAAATATTAAATTAGAAACTTTACAATATTGTTTATTCAGTAGATTTACCTAACTAATTTAAACAATTATGATTAAATTATATTTGAGACAAATCCCTAACATTTATCTAAATATTATGGTTAAGACTCAACAATATTACTTGTTATGTAGATTTATATTAGTAATTAAAATTTTCAAGATAAAGATTAAATTCAAAACCATAGAATATTATTTATCTAAATTTAAGTGAATAGTTTAAATATATTGGTTTTAACTTTGCATTTTTAAGACAATCAGCTGTTTATTATTATTAACAAAAAAAATTAACAACAGTAATAACACTACAGACAAATAAAATATTCTTCTTAATGTTATAGCTATCAATACGATGTAGCTGTTATAGCCTTTTGAATATTAATATTGCATACACATTAAATTCCACTCATGATAATCTTTACCATGATAAATATATGAATAATACAGAAACACATTTTCAGTTAAAATTGGGGTTAAAATGGTCATCTATCAGTGCAATATTTTGTGCATTTTTTTTTACCTACAAGTGACAAGAAACAGAAGATATAATAGTATTTGATTTATGCATAAGCCTCTTTCAGACATCTGTGCATTTGGTTTTGTGTACATTTGTCAACAGAAATCCTGTTACTACACTGCCTCGCTGAGATAAATTACAAAAAATGTGAAGTACCTTTAAATGCTGCAGTATGTGCATTTTCAACATACTTATGAATATCAGTTGTGTTTGCATAGAAACTTAACACCTAATGAGTTTGAGCATTTGTGTTCTTAACACTGTGAGTACAAAGGTGTTGCTGAACAATGAAAACAGTTGGAGCCAAAACGCTTCTGCAAACTGCAGACAAGTAAAAGCAGCCACACAGTACAGACTTATCAACTGCAGAAATTTTATTGAACCAAATGTGGAATTTGCAAAACAGACTCTCCATCACCTTCAGTCACAGTGACACAGTGTGACCTGGCCATGGCTTTGATTTTTACTGGAGAACTTCAGCATCTCTACGTCTTAACTCGTGTTTATAAATTATTGCATTGCAGGAAATTAAAATATTCAAGTGTCCATAAACCACAGGTTTGGTACCAGATCTGTTGTGAGACCAAACCAGAAAGCTGGTCGAGCACCAGAGCAGGAAACACTCTTCACTTACTAGTACAACCCAAAGGAGGCTCCATTTTACTATCTAGGAATATTTAACAAGATCAGCTTCACTGAGCCAAAGAATACCAGCAGTTGATGTCATTTCCCACCCTGGTGTCACTTTGCAAACTGTGAACTGACTCAGCCTTCGTGTTACAGGCTTCGCTTCGACCACCACTGAACGCTCATCAACTTTGATACTTGGATTGGTATCAAAAGGTGGTAAGAAAATGTAGCATCAAACAGAAAGAGCAAAAAAACATGAATCTGCTGGATGGTGTGGGAGTGGTGAAGGTGGTCAGTACTGATGGTTCCTCTGCTCAAGAGAACCAGAGCAGGCAGCTGGTTGAGTAAACAAAGGAGAACTTGGGCAGAACCAAAGGAGGTACACAAGTCATGTTGGCAAACAGAAAACCCACTGCTTCTCCCAGCAGTCTAACTTCAGCCACCTCTGCAGTAAACACTGTAGTAAGTCTGAGACCCTCCTACACACACCCAGCCCCCACCCCATTCCCCAGGACACCACTCCACTCCAACATATGGAGACTCATCGTTTTATTGAAACACCTTGAAGTACAAAACAAAAACGTTACATGAAACGGTGCCTCCGCAACGTGGCACAAGACCTAAAAAGAAAAAAATTAAAAAGGAAATAAACAAAGGGGACGAGGAAGGAGGAAGTGTGTGAGGGAGGGTCATCACCACTCATCCCTGATGTTGTGTGGAGCTGCAGTGGTGTGTCTTTGCGAGAGCGAGCCTGCCCCCTGGTGTCGTAGCGGGGCGGTGGTGTTACAGAGTCCCATGTTTGTCAGAGGTAATTCACGTGTTAGCTAATAGGAGCTGGTGGGGTTGCAAGGGGGGAGAGGGGGGAGGAAGAGCAACAGCAGCACATAGGAAGAGGGGAAGAGAGGGGGGATGGGGGCGTTTAATGGCCTTCCAGGAGAGAGGGGGAGAGGGCTGCAAGCAGCTTCTAAAAGCCGTGGACTTTGAGCTGCTCCTCCTTGGCCAGGTCAATCTGCACAGAAGAAACCACTGATCAGTCACTGAAAACAACTCCCGACCTTCAACATACGAAAAACCTAGAGTCAGGCACTCTGAAGTACAGGCATGTCAAATAAACTCACCTCAATGAGGAACTGGCAGATATTCTTGCGCTGGTCTCCCTGCAGCTGGATCACTTCACCATACTCTGGGTGCTCAATCACTGTCCCATTGCAGGCAAACTTCTGTTGGGGTCAAAAAGAACAAAACATTGGGTCACAAGGACACACAGCACCCTCCATTATTATCTGATGAAAGCTGGCAGCCTGCCACAAAGCAGCAGCACCACTGACTGAGACAGATGCTGCGGATCTGGAGGAACCAGAGCGCCGCTGACAGCTGAAACCCCACCCCAGGGTCCTACCTTCTTGAAGGCCTTGACTAGCTTCTTCTTGTCATAGTCGGCGGAGATGCCCTGGACAGTGGTGAGGGTCTTCCTGCCGTTCCGCTGTTGGATTCTTATGTGGATGTAGTCCTCTGTCCCGGCTGGGAGGCGGTCATCACCCTTAGTTGCATCAGCAAAGGGGTCTGGAGGAACAGAAGACAGTAGTGTTGGAATAAACTTCAACATCAAAGATGGGGCTTTTACATATGTCACCTATTCGAGACTATACAGATATTTTACTAATTTACACAACTAAGTGCCATAGTTTATCCCCTTGTTTCTATAATTTGCCAAATCAACTCTTGTGTTTTCACTGGAAGGGTCATATTTCAGATGTCGCAGATGCTAAATATACAGCTTAACAGCTCAGTGTTAGCATCTGCTAAGCGGCTCCTTTAGCCAGAAGAAACGGAATAACAGCAGAGTCATGACACAGTAACTTTCACCACCTCAATCAAACCCTCCTGTCAGATATAACTTAGCGGGACAAATACACTGCAGATAATATTGTTCAGCACTACTTTGCTGTATCCTCATATGCGCCGACTGATCTGAATAATAAGCTAACGCCTAAGTAACAGAATGTGGGCCTAATGGCGGCCGTTTTAACGTTAGCAAAGGCCCGCTAACCGACTGAAATCACAAAGTCCAGACGGCTACATATACACACAAACAATCTAACGGATAGTTACACATTAATGTCAAAATTTAAAGAGCAAAAAATGCAATAAACATTTAAGTCAGTTTGACAGTCACTAAACCCTCGACGTAAGTTAGCAGCTTAGCCCGGCTAGCTGTCGCCCTTCCCCCACCTTGTGTCCCGGTTCAGTTCGATGAAAAACGACTCACCAAAAGTTTGGAGGTTCTGGATAGCGGACATACGATAAGATTTGCTTTCCTTTCGGATAATAACTTGGTTAGCGAGCGGTTCGTCGGCTAACTTTGACTGTTTTATTGTCGTTTCGGGGTTGTGCCTCTTCACGGGGAGCGACGCTCGGCTCGGCTTCAGCAGCTTCTCACAAAATGGAGCCTGTCGAGCTTGGACAGGCTGGAAAACAAGCCCTTATAGCCCCGCCCCGAAACGTACGTCAGCACGTCATGACGCAGGACGCCGCCGGAAGCCGCGCCTCAACTTTACTGGAACAGTGACGTCATAGTGTAAGAATTTTGTCATCCTCTCGACAGGAAAATTACCAAAACAATAAATACACTTTTATAACATGTTAGAATATCAATTCTAATAATATTTAATGTTAAATAAAAAACTAAAATCAATAAAAAAAAACCAATAGAACGAAATTCTTTCCACTTCTCTTTACCCAATATTGTAGAACAAAATATGTCAGTGTACTTTTATAATATTTATTAATTCTTTAAATATTTAATGTTTAAAACAAAACATTACAAGAATCCTCTGAGAACGCAATAAGACCAATTGACTGCCAATAGAATTGTTTTTATTATACAAAATTATACAAAATATGAGTCCAATTTAATAATATTAATTCTTTACATATTTAATATCTTAACAACAAAATGCATGCAATCTCAGATAACATGACTGCATCAATTTACTGACAATAGGATAGTTTTTATTACCCAATAATACACAACAAATGATGTGAAGGCACTTTTATAACATATAACATATAACAAAAATCTATAGAATTCTCCGGGAATGTAAACATTTATATTTACTTTGAACAGATTTTTTTTTCACCCAATATCATACAACACAATATGTAAATGTACTTTAATCATATGTATGATCATTATTATTGTTGTTGTTGTCTTCTCAGATCACTTCAGGTTTTGAGACATGTAAATAAATAAATTCATAAAACAGACAGTAATAATAAAAAAAGACACACCAGCGAAACAATCAAATTTAAATACACAGGAATAAAATTTGCATATAAAAAATAAATACATAAAGGTTGAGCCTAACTTTAAAAACTAAGTGCATGCAGTGACAGTACACTTTATTATTCAGGTGCTAGATAAATACTTAAGTGTAATATTTCCTGTCTGAATCTGTGATAACAGTACAAAAGCAGACTCCACGTTTGCCACAAGAGGTTCTATCATCATAACTTTGTGTTGGACATGAGGTCAATCTAATGACACTGAGGCTGATTTGTGACTTTTAGTTTCACCAGTTTACTGCAAACACACACCTGCACATTGTGATAGCTAATACACACACGGCTGGATTGTTGTAGCAGTTCACTTATAACCCTGTAACTATGCCACAGTCGTATAATATGTCTTCCAGCCTCAGTCGTCATCTTTAGCAGCATCGATCCACTATTGTCCTTCAGTATTTCCTTCCTTATCCTCCTCAGACTGGATTTAACACAGTCAGGTTTAGATACTCTGATAAGGACAAAGAAAATGTATGACTGTTTTCTGAAAGGACGAGATTTCAGCACTGAAACAAGACAGTGAATGAGCTCAGGATATTTCCTTTCCCACGAGAACCACCAGACCAGCTTTTTAGCTCTTCTAATCTTCATACTGATGCTTCAGTTGCCACAAAAAAGATGACTTTCTACAGGAATGTGAGCCACCTTCGTTTAAAAGTATTAAACATGATCATTGTACCATAAACCTCAAAACAAACTCCAGTATCAGTGAAATCTGCAATTTGAAAGCTGCAGGTTTGGGGGCGATGACAATCCAGCTGATCCAGAAACGTGTGAACTGATGTATTTTTGGTACAAGCAAGGTGGAGTTTTTTCATTTCTGCCTCAAAAAGACATGTTTAAAACGCATAGACTGGACCCATGTATTGTCCAGGTCCTTAAAATACAGATACTGCTTTAAAAAAAAAAAAAAAAAACCTTCCAGAGCCTCTCCTCTGACCCCCTCAGAATCAGCCTTCTATGTACAATAAAAACAACAATAAATGAGAGAAAGAGAGAGAGAGAGAGAGAGAGAGAGAGAGAGAGAGAGAATTTTGTCTGGCGATTTATCAGAAAAAAGAAAACATATCCACTGTTGCAGTTTTGCTGTTCAAAAAAGGACTACATTGTGAGTGGATGTAAAACTGATTAGTGGCAGATTTAAACAGAAGTCAAATGTGTTTTTCAGCCCTGAAAAAGTCATGTGTCCATCTGCTGTATTGATGAAGTGATGAGGATCAGAAATTGTGGAAAAAATCTGTTATAAAGAGGGAAATTTCACTTCTATGTCTTTCAAGGGCCTGTAACTCTAAAAATATTCACAGTGTGAAGGTAAAACTTTGCATGGCTTCATTAAATACACTAAAGTTACAGCAGATAAAGACTCAGCTGATTCCGAGGAGGTCGGAGGGAACTTTTTGCAGTTTTGGTTAAAAATACGTGGAAGGAACTGATTGGCATCTCGGCTTTGCAGGGTTTGAATTGTTGTCTCCGATGCTGTTCAAAGTTCTGTCAATAATAATCAGTTATTAGTTTGAAGTGATAACAAAGAGCCTCGTGTCTTCTCACCTTCAGTCCATCAGCGCTTTCAGGCCGACTCTGTTTCTTCAGACTTTGTTTCACAGACTTCAGCTGCTGACTCTCCAGCTGATGACTCCTTCTGAAGCTTCCTTCTTCCTATTCCACGGACTCCCTGTTTGTGCAAACAGCGCTGCACAGTGGACGGATGAACCACGACTCCAGCATCAGCCAAACCCTCCTGCAGCTCCTTGGCAGTCATGTTTGGGTTCAGCGTTGCTTTCCTGCCCAGCAGATGAGCTGTTTTATCAGAAATCTTTCGAGGTCTTCCAGATCTCGCCTTCACTTCCACAGTTCCTGTTAACTTCCACTTCCTGATCACGTTCCGAATGGTGGAGATTGAAAATCCAAAACGCTTTGAGATCTTTTTGTAGCCTTTCCCTCCTTTGTAGGCGTCGATAAGCTTCATTTTCAGATCGTGACTCAGTTCAATAGAGGAGCCCATCGTAGATGAGAGTTAGTGTTCTGGGAAGAAGGAATAACAGATTGAATCAGCGTAAATAGCACAGTAAAAAAGAATTCTGTAACAAACTGCTGAAACCTGTCAGCAAGGGTGCCAAGAAAGTAAGTGAAAAAATACTTTAACATTCAAAAACAGTAAAAAATAACAGCAAATACCTGTGAAATAGTTAGATTTTTAGAGGATTTAAATACACTACATGTAACGACCCACCTAGAATGTTGGTTGGGCACATTGGCTGTCTGTGTTTGGCTTTGCTTCCTCAGGTCCCCAAACTGCTGGAGACTGAGTGGGCAGTTCTACCTGCTTGGCATGCTTGGGCCCAGCGCTCCCAGGCTACAAAAGGGCCAACCCCTCAGCTCCTGCTCTCTCTCCTCATGCTTGTGACTTGGGCTTGTGTCATTATAGTTTGGTCTTTACATCAGACAACACCTCGCACCATATCGCATCCGGGCATCCAGGCATCTGCACCTACACTGCTGATATCACTGACGTACACATCTCACTTTGAAAATATTAATTTAACCAGTTAATAAAAGCTTACGTTTAAATCTAGGAATACCGGTGTTGTCGCCCCTCTTTTTGCCATAGCCTATTTGCCGGGTTGTGACTTACATTTTATATATATATAACTGTTCAAGCATATTAACAAGTTTTCTTCATGACTTTTATGTACAATTCTGCACATTGTGTGTTCTACAGTTTGGGTATAATTGTCCATAATACATACCTGTTCATGTGTCTGTTTTTATCTATTTTTTCATCTTTATTCAACTTTTGCCTTTCCTGTCTTCATGTTAACTATGCTTCATTTTTATCCAGCTGCTGTAACGTCAATTTTCCAGGTGAGAGATCAAAAACGTTCTGATTGACAACCTAAACTTAACATATATTTGGTTTTTTTTGGTGATTATGTTGGATATTATCTGTAATTTAACTAAACTGAGAAAATCTGTAAAATAACTGTTAAAAACATTTTTGCATTTTTGATGAATTAATTCAGAATCATTTCTATGTATTTTTGCTGATTTTATTACAATAAAAACATCGTGTAATTTACAACCCAACCTTGTAGAAGAATAATTTACTGTGACTATAAAATTCAATTTTTTGACGTAGACCTTTTTGGACTTTTTTTTTTTTTTTTTTTTAAAGGATTTCTTTCCATTCAACATGTAAATTAATAATTGTTTTCTGAGACTTTACAAGGTGTTAGCTGTAAGTTAACAGAACTGAAAAATCAGTAAAATAACAGTCAATGATTTATTGTTTAATTACAGTGAAAAAACTTTTTTTCATTTTTTACTGTGACCCTCAGATTCAGGGCTGAACAAGGGGCAACACAATAAAAAATAATATTGTGACATGAGTGCCAATTTAGAAGGAATGGTCAGTTTTTTGGAAATACTTTTTTCCCACTGAATCAAATATAAAAATGATGATGTGCACCAAACAAGTGTGTCACCTCCAGGCACTTCATACAGGGGATGAAGACCATACAAAATTTAGACAGAAACTTGATAAATCCTAAGATTCCCTTTGAGCAAACAGTTTCTGCACATCTGAAGTGTTTTGTTGTCCTATCTGTTGATCCTGTGGGTGTTTTATCAGATTAACCACCACGTTTTTACCTTTTTTCAGACACAAGTCCAAAAAAAATGATGTAGGTAATTTGTAACCTGGGACACACACCTTCCTTAGCAATAAAACAGACTGACAGCAACTGTGGGGGAAAAAAAAAACACCAGGAGAAATACTACCTCTCCTGCTTGTATGTTTATGTATTTCGTGTGTTTTTGTGGTGAACGTGAATCCTCACTGTTCTGTAGCACTGCTGTTTATCCTCAGTTAGCCGATGCTAGCACCTAATCCGCCTATATAAAGGTGAACTAAGGGCCTGAAGCTGCTGTCACTTTTCCGGATTTCATGATGAATCCTAAAAGATTAAAACGGATTTTAAACACACGTTCACCGCGTACAAACTAGCAGGAATTAGCTGCATGTATTTGTGATTTAACGTTAGCTCATCTTTCTCCCGCTTTATCTCACGGCTCAGTTTGATAAATAAAATCACAAACCAGCGTCTGGAGGTCTGAGGAGGCGGAGACACGAAAAGATTTACTCTCCTTTGGAATAACGACTTAATTATAGAGCTGTTTGTAGTTTCTGGGAATCACAACACAAGTGGCTTGAAACCCGGAAATAAACACTATAAAACCCCGCCTCAAAAGTGACGTCAAGACGTAACACGCATGGGACGTCGCCTGAAGTCAGTTCTTCTTCTATTTTATTTTAAATTTATAGATTTAAAAAAGCATGTTTTAACCACCTAATAGACCATGTATATTTTAAAAAGAAAACAACAGCCTTAAATTGAATTAAATAATAAAAGTATAATGAAATACATAAAAACTTGATTATTTTCTTACTCAAAGAATAAACAGACATTCCAGAAATTTAAAATATGTTTACTCATTTACTGAACTCCTGAGGAGACGTTTTAAGGTAGACAAAACCAACTTTACATGTTGTGAGAATACTGAGTGTTTTCAAAAGGCCTCTCACTTCAGTGCACCTATTTCACATTATTATGAAGTGAAATTAGGATTTTAATGGAGTTTGTTTTCTTTAATGTGTAAATGATGTATGATTTTTTTTAATTATTTTGGACAAAGAAGCATTTTTTCATGTACAGTGCTTAACAAATTTATCAGACCACCTGTAATAAAATGAAGAAAACAGAAATGTTTTAGAAATCTATCAAAAACTTGTTTAAAACTAAAAATGTTGTAATTTATTTGGCAAATAAACTGGAAAACTGAATACTTCTTTTTCACACATAATAACCAAAAACCTTCCTATTTTTTTGGCCTCCTTTGGTCTTGATAACAGCTTGCGTCCTTGCTGGCTTTGTTTGTATTTACTTTTCGACAGCCTCTTTTGTTGTTGAGTTCCACATAGTTTCTAGCTGTTCCCACAGACTTGCTTTAGATTAAACTTTTGTGCGATCAATCTTTGAATGTACCACATCCCAAATTTGTTCAAATTTGTTCAACTTTGACTTGGCTGGTTCATCAGTTCCAGAACTCCAGATTCCTTTTTCTTGGTCAAATAGTCTCTGCACAGCTTTAAAGTATGCTTGGGCTCACTGTCTTGTTGATGTATGAACCCACCACCAATCTGATTCAGCCCAGAAGGGATTCCATGATGCACTACGATGTCGTAAATGCTCTTGTTCATGATACCGTCAATTTTCACTAATTGGCCCACACCGTTTCCACAAATGGAACCTCATGCTATAATGGAATCCTTACCGTGTTTCCCTGTGGGTGCAATGCATTTGGCATCAAAACGTTCTCCAGCTTTTCTGCTGACTGAATAATTCGTCCGTCCAGAGCACCTTCTTCCAGTCACCAACAGTCCAGTGTTTGTGCTCTCTGGCCTTGTTCCATCAGTCGTCTGCTTGTAGTCGTTCTGGACACTTTCTCAGACTCTGATCAAGAAGCATTCATCTCTGCCTGAAGATCAGCAGTGGTCTTCCTTCTGTCTCCAGTACTTTCAATCTTGTCTCACATCTGCCTCAGTGAACTTTTGTTTCCTGCCTCTTCCTTGGCACATTTTGTAAGTGACTCGAAATCATACTTGAGCACACTGTGAGAACACTTTCTGTCTTTCCCTGTTTGTCTCAGAGACCATCCAGCATCATGAAGGGCTTTAATGCCACTCTTTCATTTTCAGTGAGCTCTCGATGTTTTACCATTTTGAACAGGAATGACGAATTTCAAACTGAATTCATCTTTTTATATTCATATTTGAGCCGGCTCGCTGGGCTTCAAGTCAGAAATGAATCAAGCATAACATTCAACCACTCAAACAAAATTTTCTGCTCAGGAATGCAAGTAAATAACTGTAATTTGCCATCTTAATCAAGAAATAATAATTTACTATATTCTTCTGATTTTTTGTAAAACACTAAATTTGATGGATAACAACAATACTTATATTTTAGCATTAAAAATATAATTTTGTTTAAAGAGCTTCTACATACTGGTGTATATTACAGAAAAAAAAACCCAAAAAGATTTTGGTAATTACCAGTGCTGTTAATTTTGGGCATCTGTGGCATAAACCTTACATTGGGTGGTGGTGTAATATTTTTGTTAAGGACTATATGCTGAAAGATTAATATGACACAGCGGGTTTCTTTTAGAATTAGATATTCAACTTTAGTTTTCTTTGCTGGTATTTGAAAAAAAACATCTTGTGTGTTAAACTCTGAGGAGGCAGTAGAGGATCACTTTCACATTTGGTTGATTTTATTCACAGTATAACACACTTCTTCTCCTTCTTCAGAGTCTGAACTCCTCCCACAAACGCTCCGATCCCAGCTCCCACTAAAGCTCCCAGTGGACCCACTGCGCTTCCGAATGCAGCTCCGAGCTGAATGGCTATGAGGAACGTGTTGTCCTTCTCAGCCTGTTTTCTCGCCTCTTCTGGCTTCATGTCGGGGTTTTCCTCCAGGAGCTGCTGCTGCTTCTCCCTGATGGCCTTCTCGGCTTCCTGCAGCAGCTCGTTGGTGTAACATTGGCCTCCGTTGCTCTGCACCAGCGTGTTGATCTTCTTCAGCAGCTCTCTGACCTGACTCTGATCCTTGTCTTTGTTGTTGAAGACGTGGTGTCTCTGGCCACACTGATCGATGAAGTCCTGCAGAGCCTTGTTGCCACTGATCAGCTCCTCCACAGTGACTTCTTCGTCCTCCAGGTCGTCTCCGTGGGTGAACAGGACCATGGTGAATTCTGCTGCCTTCTCTCCAAACAGCTCCTGGATGAGCTTCACAGTTTTCTGCTCTTCTTCGGTGAACCTGCCCGGCTGGATCACCACCAGGAACACATGAGGACCAGGAGCAGTGTAGGAGATGCACTTAGCGATCTCTGTCTTCACGTCGTCCTGAGTTTTGTCGGTATCGAACAGACCTGGAGTGTCGACCACAGCCAGTGTCTGACCTCCGCACTCTGTTACTTCCTTCTGACACTCTGCTGTCAGCGAGCAGGAAGAAGATGTGGATTTAAACTCCTTCCTTCCTAGGATGGTGTTTCCTGCTGCGCTCTTCCCAGCTCCAGTTCTACCGACCAGCACCACCCTGAGGTGAGCTTCCTGTTCACCTGTGGAGGATAAAACACACAAGATAGATGTTGTAGAAGAGCTCCTTATTTATAACTCTTAGCATTTTGTCTCCACCAGCAGCTCCATGAAAATAACAAGGACAACGAGGAGAAACAACTCAGGAGAGAAAACTTTGCTATTTAGGAAAATTGATATTCTAAATTATGTTTCACAAATTCATTTCATTCTAGACAATTTCAAGTAATTCTGGACAATTTCTGAAAACATTGCACAGATATGGAGTCATTTTAGAGTAATTGAGATTTTTTGGACATATTTCTTGTCATTTTGAGCAAATTTTGAGCCATTTCTTTTAAATTAATGTATTTGCAGGTAAAACCATAAAAGCAAAGCAGTGAAATCAACCAGGAATGAGCTTTAAACTTGGAGAAAATGTCAAAAACAAAGACCTGCAAGAAAACTTCATTCATATGAACCTGCATGAATTTAATGTTTATTTTGGACAAATTTTAAGTCATTCTCGAGAAATATTGTGGAATTTTGGAAAGGATTTGGACCATTTTGAAGACATTTATTGTGGTCTTTTTGTCATGATCAATGTTTTTGTTATGTGGGAAAAATTCAGAGAAATTATGGAATTATTGAATTTTCTTTTTCTTTCTTTCTTTCTTTTTTTTTTTTTTAATGTTGAATCAGTTTGGACGGATTTGAAGTCACTGTGGGTGGTTTCTTCAGTTTGGACAAAAATAAAAGCAATCATAAAACATTTGTCAAAAAATGTCCAAATTGTTTTTTAAAAATGTTAAAATGACCAAAAAAACAAACAAACTCAAAAATGACTAAAATGTCTAATATGAGAAAAAAAAAAAATCAAAAATGATGCCCCAAAAAGTCCAAAATACATCTAAATGCATCCTTATTCAAAAACAACTTTTCTAAAAGAAAAAAGAAAAAAGAAAAGAAAACTAGCAAAACTTGGAATTTGTTAAAGCTGTTGCTGACAGTCAGACTGAACAGCTTCCAGTAAACACGCTGAGCAGCAAATGTGAGATTAAACCAGGATGTCTCTGGATCTGGAGCTTCACGTTCCTGACCTGCAGCCGCTGGCTTCACCGACCCCCAAAATACTTATAGTCCTATTTATTGTTCTGTTCTATTGCTGCTTTCCATCTGCTATCCTTTCCCCCACCCCCCATCATCCCCACTCTCACCCAACTGGTCGAGGCAGATGGCCCCGCTGCCAGCCGCTTGCTCAGAGGAAGTCCAAAGGCTTCGGTTCTCTGTTTAAATTTGCTAAGGTCCATACCTTACCATGTTAAGCACTGTGTGATAACGTGTTGTAAACTGCGCTATACAACTAATATTGAATTCAATTGAAATTGAATTGAAACAAAGTTAATTCAATCACATCTTTCTAACACTGAAACTAGTTAAAAGTTGATCCTTGTTGAATTTTAGCCTCAACCAAAAATGCATCTTTTTGACAGTAAATGAAAAACTTTTACTGTCTAGATCCGATCCGAGCAGTTTGTCTTCACAGCTGTTTCTAAAAGAACGAAGTAAACCAGTTGCAGCTTCTTGAACTGCTGCAGTGTAAACAGGCTCATCAGGATTCCTGATGCAGATTCACCAACAGCAGCTGCTGCACAGACGACAAAATCTGTTCACTGAATTTTTAACGTTTTCATTTGTAATATATTTTTGGGGGTTTGAGAAACTCTTTACTTGCATACAACAATTTCTAAAACGAACACAACTGGACATTTTACAGGCAGGTTGCAGTTGAATAGAATTAACAGATTTTCCCAGATCAATTGCCACAAACTGTTTTGCAATAAAAGCTAAAAGAAAGACAGTCAGTTCTTTTCTGTTTGGTTCACAACATGATTCGTATCAGGAAACCAACTGTTGTTATATTGCACAGAGAAACCCAATAGTTTAGGAGACACAATGTAAATAATAAAAACCAATAAGAGAGCAGCGAAGCAGCAGGTCTTAATCCAAAGTTAAAGTGAAGTTTAAATTCATGAAAGTGTTGAACTGAGTGTAAAAGCTGTAAATATTCTTACACAGAGTGTCTCCGTCCATGCTGATCTCTTCAGGCTGTTTGCTGAATGAAGTCGAGTCATTTAGAACTCGGCTCCTCCCAGTCAACATGTGACAACCTGGGAATTCATAAATCTGTTTCTTTCTTTCTTAAAAACAAATGATAATAAACCAGGTGGCTCCACAATTTTGCCAAAAATGACAAAAACATCCGAAATGACTGAAAGCTGCTTCCAGCATCTTCCCTGTGAACATGCGACATCCTCAAGATTTCGAAATGTAAGTTTTACAGAACCAGAAAATGACTCGAAATTTGTCACAAACCACAAAAAGTCCAAGAAGACAAAAACAGACAAAAATTGTCTAACTTTGGCAAAATGTTTCGTAATTTTACACATTTAGACACATTTTGGTCATTGTGGAATCATTCAGAGTTATTTTAGACAAATGTCAAATTATTTTGAACATATTTAGTGATGATGAACAAAACTGATATTCTGGATACGTCTTGTGTCAGTTTGGACAAACTTGGAGTCGTTTTAGTCAGTTTTTTGTCCTTTTGGACAAATCTGAAATCCTTTTATACTGGGATGCCCGATATATATCGGCGACCACATTGGCATCGGCTGATTGGTGTTTTTCCTGATAGCGGTATCGGTCTGATGAACAAATTTAGCTGATGATTGTCCAACATTAGCGCCTTCGTCTCTACATTTGATATTGCTGCTATTTCACAGACGTTTTTACTTAAATGGTTCTGGACTTGAATGTTAAATATGTTTTACTGTTGTTACGTAATGACGAAGACTATGTGGTCTAATTTGATATGGGCTTCTTTTGAATAGTTTTCATGTTCTCACAGTGCTCACTTCAACTCATTTGTCGGTGTGAACAATAGTTGAATATCAACGTTGATCATATCGGTTATCTGCAATATCAGAAACTTTAATATCAGAATCGTCCAGAAGTTTTAATATTGTGCATAACTACTTTTATACAGATGCTAAATGAGTCATTTTGGGTTGGTTTGAGTGTAAAAATGTCTGTTTATCTGTGTTTTCACTGAGGTGTCTCAGCAGCTGTATGCATTTAAAGAAAAAAACTCCACAAACACAACCAAGTAATAAGAGAGGAGACTGTTTTAGACAAAACACCAAGTTTTTTTTTTTTATTGAAAATCCCATTAGTTCACTATGAAAGCAAAGAGAAACACATTTCACTGTACAAAGGGTGAGACTGTAGCGACCGTACCACTGTTGTCACAGGATCATTCTGGAGAAACAGCTAACCAGCAAAACTCAACTGCTACACAACTGCGCCTAGTGCACAAAAAAACAAACACACAAGCAGGATTAGGATATATATATATAAAAAAACAACGAAAAACACAAAAAGCAAGTCCAGTCAGTGACATCCTGCAAAATTCAGTTACAAAATGATGTTTAACACAGTTTTCCTGCCTGACAAAGACACCCTGAGCTGCAGCAACGAAAGACACTAAAGTTAATTTATCTCAGTGTGCACCCATATAAAAACTGAAATAAAGTAAATGGAAGCAATATCTATTTCTGCTAACTGGGGTTTATGTCACTTTGGTTGCTGTTAAAACGCCAGATCAGAAATAAATATAAAAAATGTGTCATTCAAAGAAGGCTTCATGTTTAGAAGATAATCCTGATTTATTCTTGTCTGCTGTATTTAGTATTAATGAATGAGGATAAACCGCCACTTCAGAACTGGAGGAAAAACTATATATATGTTTAAAAATGTGCTTTCAGAATCAGTAACACAATAAAACCAAAGTGGATTCAACAATGAGGCCTGCATGAAGATGACTTTCTGAACAACTGAATTTCCTCATTAAAGATTCCACTTTTTTGATGGATTTTAACTCTGAAAACAGGTATGACATCCAGGACGAGCACTGTGATGCTCAGCAAGCCAAGAAAACCCAAAGAAAGCTAGTTTAACCTGGACATGTCTCATGATAGCGACTGCAGAGAGAAGAAGTGAAATGAATCCAGGTTCAAAACACACAGTAAAGTAGACTTTTGAAATCAAACAGGTTATAAAAAGCAAATAAAATCCCATCTGTGAAACCAAACAGCCTTTCTGAGGCCAAATGAATAAAATTTACCAAAGCATGGAAGACACAATAATAACCTTTTGGAGCTGGACGCTGTGGCTTGTGTAGTATCCATTCTGGAAGTTCTCAAGTCTGCAACTGAAACAGTCAAAAACAAGCCGAGGTTAAAGGTACATTTCACAAAATGTACTTTGCAGATGTCTTAGAAATTCCCCAAAACTGAAAGTCACCTCAGACCAGAACAATCCCTGAATGTGTTTATGAAACTGCACTGATAATATGAGGTGTGATCAAAAACTCAAAAAGCTTTCAGGTTTCGGTGAACGCAAGGATGCAGGCTGAATTCATGACATGACTTAGAGGTCTTTCCAAACATATAGATTCCAGATCAGCTGGTCAGTCGGAGGCATTCCACTGCCACAGCAGCTCCCTGCCATACTGGAGTCGACAAAAGCAGTCAGGAGGCAAGAGAGTGTGTCCGAAATCCCAGGCTAGGTAAAACACTAGCCACATTGAAAACATAGCGCATGAATCCATGATCAGACTTAAAAGGAGTTTTTTTTTTTTTTTTTAAAGAGTACCCGGTTCAGCTGGGCTTTGTGACAGGTACTGGGAACTTGTAGGAGCTGAAAGTCAAAGAGGTCTCACAGGAGGGAGGCTGGTTGTCGGTTAGTTGACGCTAGCATTAGCCACTGCCAGTATGTAACCTTGGTGCTAGTGAAATTGTTAACACAGCCAGAGAGGAGGGAGAACTCGTTCAGCCAGGATTCCTTCGCCTCCGAACATTGTAGGGGGGTGTCCGGACTCGCTTGGTGCATAAGAAGCCTCCTTTCAAAAGCAGCCTCTCACTTAAAAGCAGCACTCTGTTGACTCCAGGATTCTGGGAAGTTAGCCTAGCCTAGGACAGGCTGTCTCAGAGAGGCGGTGAGACAAGAATTCATAAAGACAAAGTTACTGCTCGCTCAGGCGGCTCAGAGATCATTGCAGACTGGCACAGAACGAGACCACCTGGACAGAGAACTGCTGCTGCTGGTTGCTGCATGTGCGCCCAAAGATGCAGTGTTGATAGCTCCCGTTTAGCTGCACACAGGTGATAACTAAGATTGATTCTTGTTACCAAGCATCAAACATCTACATTTTTTCAAAGTTAATAAATAAATAAACAAGAAATTAAACAAACTGGGACCGACATGTCAACAAACCTCAGTTTATCTCAAGCACCAGAGTCTCCATCACAGACAGTCATACCTCAAAACCCCAGACTGCCTTCCTCCACCCTGCTGCTGCTGCACAGAAACCTCCATCAGCTGCAGGAAGCCTGAAGGCAGCTGACCAAACACCTGCTAACTGCTCAACATCTCTCAGCTCAGCTCAAAATCCACTTAAGCAAATAGGACTCCGCAGCTTGGGAAGGAGAGATTTGGTTTACCGTCAGAACCGTTCCTAAAAAAAAAGTTTTTTTAGATACTTAAACTACTTAAATTGTAAGGCTGCACACTGAGAAATAGTGGGTGCAAGTGACATATTTGGAAGAACAATCTGGTAAATATGGTCTGAAAAATTATGTCAGTGAACCAAAATAAATGGCTGCTAAAGGGGCTAAATTTTTACCTCCATCTCCCAGCCTGATGCCAACAACTTTTCATCATAAACAACAACAAATACAATGCCGGCTGAATAACAGCAGCATCTTGTCCAAACTCACCTGTTGCTGATGTGCTGAGCTCTATGAGGATTCACCGTTTTCTGCGGCTGACTTGGGCTGGCTTTTAGATCTGGACCTGGACCCCCTTTTGGAGGAAGGCGTGCGGCTTCTGGATCGGGATTTGGACTTGGACCGGGACCTGGACCTAGATCTGGAACGGGAATGGGCCTTGGTCTTCTTGTTCCTGGGGGACCGGGACTTGGACCTGGAGTAGGACCGAGACCTGGATCTGCTGTAGCGGGACCGGCTTCGGGACCGGGAGCGACTCCTGCTGCGGGATCTGCTGCGTCTTCTGTGTCTCGGGCTAGGGGAAGAGCTGCATACATTCAGTTCAGTTATGGTCTGTGAGTTTACATCAACAATAAAGAAACAAACATATTGTGCGTTTTTGGACAGATATTGCAGCACGGTAATTATATTGTTTCTCTTCCACTCAATATATAAAAATGGTGCAGTGATTGTTGATGCAGCCTGTACAAAACAAGCCTGTCCCTTTATTTTTTTAGCCTTTTCCCATTTTTAAAAATATAGTACATTTTAAACAACAGCTGTTGCAGCAATGTGCTTTCCAGTGACAAAGATCATGACAGCTGTTAAGACATAGCTTAACAAGTTTGGATACTGGGGTTAAGGTCTTCGTAGTATTACTTATGGTCTGATTTTATCTGAGTAAAATACACAGTAGGCTAGGACCCTACAAAAATGATATAACACACTAGTTTACCTGAGCATGATGCATACTAACAAACAGTGTTATTAAATGTTGAAGACCTGTCTAATGTAACAATGTGGCTAAGACCTCACTGTATTATAAATTATGGAGCTTAACAGTACCAAGGTAAATATTGAGCTTAATGCCCTTTAGCATTATTAATTATGGAGATTTACTTGACCAATGATCAGCTAGAGTTTGGACTCTGCAAAAATATACATAAAAAGCTAAGAAATCCAAGGATACTCTGGATTCCCTATGATCAAACTGTTGTTTTTATATTTCTATTGTCTGTGGACTACTGTATTTTATATTACTTTAGATATGTTATCACATTTTATCTGCGTCTGGAGATATGATTTGTAGGCTGGGGCATCTCTGCAGCACCACAATGCTTCATTTATCCTAATAGAAAATACTGATATTATTTCAATGAATTGTTCAGCGATCTTGCTTGGTTCTAGTTATAAGTGAAGTGGCTGATTTACTAACATTAGATGATTAGATATCCCATTAAAAATCTGAAACAGAGATTTTGCAATGGACACCAGAATGAGCCATTAGGTTCTGCTGCTAAATTCAGTATTCATCTGATCCATCAAGCAGTTCTACCAGAATAGTCAAACTATTCAATGGCGTCTGGTGTCCATACAAATAAATGCTAATTTGTGTAACTAAACAAAAAGGTGATTTATGCTAAAATAACTTAAATACGTTTGGCTTATTATTACATGATCTGAGCCGAATTAGAAAGTGGATCTTGATAGTTTGTAAAAGTACAACATTTTTGTTCTGTAAGAGATGTGTTTGGTCCATGAGCCACGGCCTCCTTCATTACTCAAACTATTCAATGGAGTTTTGGTGCCCACATACATTTTGTTGAAATAGTCTAGAGAAGGTTGGTTTATTATCATTTGATGTGAACCGAACTGTAGGGTAGAGCCCACTGGTTTGTAAAAAATACTTCACTTCTGCTATGTGAGAGACGTATTGGGTCAGTGAGCAAAGGCCTTCCTTAAGAGTAGAACTATTCAATGGAGTCTGGTGTCCACACAACGAGGTGCTTTTTGTATCGCTGGACTCCAATGTGAATTTTGTTGTGGTAATTTACGCACGTTTAGTTCACTATCCGATCGGGACCGAATTATAGACTGGTTCTCATAGGTTTTATAAAAACGGTTCGCTTTGGTTCTGTGAGAGATGTGCTGGGTCAGTGGGCCCACGCCTCCCAAAATACGCAAAATAATAAATGGAGTCTGGTGTCCGCGCAACGAAACGTTTTCTTTCTTTACCTTCTACTTCGGCGTCCGTGGCCGCTGTACCTCCGGGTGGATCCGCCTCGCCTCCCACCACCGTGGTGGGAGTCCGGTGGTCTGCCGTACCGGGCCATCTGGACCCGCAGCTCCCGTCCGTCCAGCAGCGCTCCGTCCATGGCGTCCATGGCGTCCTCGGCGTCCCGTTTGTCGTGGAACCGAACAAATGCGAAGCCTCGGCTCTCTTTCGTGTAGCGGTCTCGGGGGATGTAGACGTCCCCCACCCGGCCGTACTTCTCGAACACCCGGCGGAGCGTTTCGGGCGATGTTCGGTACGTCAGGTTGTCCACTTTGAGAGAAGTCATGCCGTCGACATCCGGCGGAGGCCTACCGTAACTCATGGTGAATAAACCTGCGAGGCCCGGACGGAGCCTTCTCACAACAGTTTAGAAACTAGCTACAAAGACGAGTGCGTATTTTCAAAAAGTCCACACAAACACAAAAGTGTGTTTTAAATCGAATTACATTGCCTGCATGAAGTCTGAATCTCCACAACGATAAAATGTGCTACTTTTCCCCGACACAACTCCACCCAAGCCGCTTCCAGCTGCCCCCGACCGCCGAGTCCAACTTCTTCTTCTTCTTCTTTACAGAGAAGCGCGAGGTGTCAAGTTACCTCATCGGCGCCATCTTGTGGAGTAAAATAGATTCTTAAAATGAACAACAGGCAAGCAAAACAATATTCTGTTATTCAAAAAAGTAGCTTTTAATGGATAATTATACCATATTTTTTTGTACTTTTATTGATTTATTTTTTGAGCCGAAGTTGTGTCTGGTCTCCTTTGTAAAGTAGCCGGTTTTAGCAATAAGCTGCCTCTGTGCCATCTTTTGGAGGTAATTTGATTCTTAAAATGAATAACAAGCAAGTAAAATGCAACATTTTGTCCAGAGAGGTAATATTTAATGGGCATTTATGACATGTCGACGTGTTTAACAGATTTCTGTATGTTGTTGATTCTTTTTTCAACACAAGTTGCAGACTCTTGTAGCTTTCATGCAAACTTTAAATTGTATCTCAAGTTTTCAGAACATAAAGTAACTGCAACTTTACAATACAGAAAAAAAACGTATGTTTCACACAAATAAAGAACATCCTAACATAAATGGATGTGATTTGATGCATACAAATTCACCAGAATGCAGGAAATTAAGTATTAAAAAGTTTACAATTTTCACAGGAAACCTGTGCCTAGACAATTATCCTTTACAGCAAATAATCATCATTACGAATTTTTCAGCAAACATTAAGTGCATGTTCTTTTCAGACAGGTATGTACATAGTGCAACATTAGCTATCTGATTATATGAGGTAAATAATATTTCCAAGACTTTCAGCAGATTCCACAATAACAATTACATGGTATACAAAGATTTCACACTTTAATTGACTGATATAAAAAACTGTAGTATTACAGATGTGATCTACGGAACTTCAAAAATGCTGAATTGCTCAGCTACATTCACACACATCTGTTCAGTGCAGCTTTCACAGTTCTTCATTAACACCTACGTTTTTACACCCTTCAAAATAAAGTCCAAAGCTTAAAAAGCTGGTGACCACATTACAGGAGAGCAGTAGTGAAGTGAGCAGGAAGTCAAAGTAAAAAAAAATCTAATTTTAAAGTCTCTTTTTAAGTCAATAAAATAAGTTTCCTCATTGCAGAAGTGTCTCCTGGAGAGGCCCGATTCATAGGGTGAATCTGAATTTCTCAGCGACAATTACAACTCTTATAGCCAATTTTTGTGGCTGTTATTTATGCTCACTTAGGAAAACACTGAAAAAGTAGAATTTTATTTTCAATTTGCCTTTAAGGGTTTAAAATACATACCAACACTAATTCTGATCAGGTTTTGAGTGCATCTACATCCTTTTAATAATTTTTTTTGCTTATCTGGCAAGTGTAAAAGCTTCTAACAGAAGAACCGTGTTGTGTGACACTTAATTTGAAAGGTAACATTGTGTAGTTTCTGGAAGTGTGCATGTTTACAATGAAACCAAGGCACAGCTACATTGATCCTTTTGAGCACCTTTACAGTGTTTGTCATTGGTTTGCATCTCTTCTGGTCTTTTAGAATTCCTATGCCACTCAATTGTGTGTTTTTGTGATTGTTTGATTAATTTTTAAACCAGAAATGTTTCTTCAAATAGGACATGGGCACTAAATTACACAGGAGCATCCGGGGACAGAAGTCAGAACTGTGTAGCACATTGAAACTGACTATTTTACTTTCACAATCAGGTAGCCAAAAAAATTTATCTAAAAACCATTGGGGATTTGTAGTCAATCTTTCTGTAGGCTCAGCGCCTCTATGTTTGTGCTGTTAATTCCACCAGGAGAAGATCACATCTGATATTAAAAAAGCAACCAAGGAGGAAACAAACAAAACTATTACTGATGGAGACCTAAATGTCTGGTGTAACCCCGGCCACTTCACTACTCAGCTCCTGTTGGTCAACAGATAGGCTCAGAATCAAGTCAGCGGTCATTTGATGCAGTTTAAAGTCTGTAACATTTCTCAAATTCAAGGCTGCCTACATTCATTTGTGCTTCTAACATCATGTAAATCAGGTGAACTTCTCTATGAGAAGAGGTGAAGACCCGGGGCTAGGAAGAGGAATTGGAAGAAGAAGAAGAAGAAGAAGAAAGAAGAAGAGTGACCAGGAGCGCCTCCAGAAACAGTGGTGGCTGGGGCGGTCGTGGTGGAGCTGTTGGTGGAGGCTGGAGACAGCAGCGTGCCCAAGTTCTGAGCTAGGAAGGACTGGAAGGTGCTCACTCTGGTGAAGACCTGTATGCCCACTCTGGTGAAGACCTGTATGTAGACTTTGGGCCGTCTCCTTCTGGTAGAATTAGTTTGGGTGGAGTTGTCTTCTGTGGGGTTGCTTTCAACAGACAGCACGGCCGCTTGGAACCAGGAGCCGTCCTGTTTGCACATCAGCGGGCCGCCAGAGTCACCCTGAACAAACCCACAGGAGATTTATCAGTGTTTCTAATCTTATCACTTTCACAGAAAGAGCTGCACAGAAATCTGATGTTATGCCTTAAAGATAGAGTTTGATATTTATAAGACACACATTTACACTTTCCTGCAGAGAGTTTGCTTATTGCCAAACTTATCATATTTTTCATTTTCTCACGGTCACTGAATAAATCATGTGTGACTTGTGGTTTTGTCAGGAAAAGTTACTAAATCTAAACTTAAAATCAGGCGATTTCATCAAAATCACTCTATCCAATCACATGTCATTTTTAAAAATCTACAAAATTCAATAAATTTGAGATAGGACAGTTAACCATATCTAAGCTTAAAATTCCTTGAAATCCCTGTATTCTATGTCAAATATTCAAAACAAATCCTGTAAAAAAAAAAAAAAAACAAGTTTTGCACTCCTCACAGCAACTATGAAGCCATGAGTGACTGGGCTGTGAACAACAGTCACATGACAAAAAATCATGTGCGATATTATTACTACTACTACTACTACTAATACTACTACGAATAATAATAATATTAAAAATAATAATCACGATAGAAAATGACAAGAAAGACTGAGAGGAAAATAAAGCATACTGCATCAGTGACGTAATGCAGCATGGCTCTAAAACAGTATACAGAGGAGCAAGTTGATGGAAGACACATTCAGCACAGTGAAATAAGTAGCTTGAGATGATGTGCTGAGTGGTTTGAAAAAGTTTGCCGAAGTTGTAAAAATGTGAATTGTTAAGTATGTATATCATTTAGAGCCACCATATTTTCCAGTATTGATGACACAAATGGAAAAATGTTGGACATGTTGATTCCACATTTCAACATCAGATGAAAACCTCAATAAATGATGTGCAGTAATCATAATAACAAGAATACGAATGACGTCATTAGCCTGCTGTATTGTTATTGTTATTCACCTGTTCCAGTGTGAAAGTCCCTGTACAAATGTTGTCACTCGATGATGCATTCCCACAGTCCACCACTGAGGTCTGCAACTCCTGCAGGGCTTCCTCCTCTAAAAGTTGGGAGAAGAAGAAAATTGTGACTAAATAACGTTGATGTGCAGCAGCAACATGTTTAACCTGAACAGGTGGACTGATGCACAGCTTTACTGTGTCAGTCTTTGTGTTGTGGACTCACCTCCTCCTCGCCCAGAGTTCCAGCCAGCAGCCCAGCATGCTGTGCCAACGGCAAAGGTTCGCCCAGTGTCAAGGCAGATGGGCTGGATGTAGTCGGACAGGGTGGGTTGGCCCGACAGCTTCAGCACTGCGATGTTGGATCCATTCAGGCTGCTCAGAGTGATATTTGTCACATTCAGCCTCACCTCAAATGGGTTGGATCCATTCTGATTCAGACGACCCAGCACGACAGTCCAGTCAGACGCGACAGGGAGGCTGAGGGACGAAAAGCCAAATGAACTTAAAACGTGTTATCTATTTAAAACCACGGCTGCACCCTCACAGATTCAGCCTCTCGCATTCAGCACCATCAGAACCAAACTAGCAAAGTCCATCTGTAGCTCCAAGGTCACTGGATCCTACTGAACTCTTTGAAAGTACCTTACTAATATACAGCTTTATGTTTAAAGATTTCAGTAATTTCCCATAATTTTGGTTGTTTTTAATCTTCCATTGTGTTTCCATTTTGTCCCTTTTTGATCATTTTACATCTCACTTGCAGTTCAGTTGTTTGCTTTGTGTCTTTTGTGCATCAGAATTTGGACATTCAGCCACACCATCAGGACCAACTGATCTCACCTTGAGAAGCATTTGGCGTCGCTCATGACAGAGTCCACGGCCACCAGAGTCCCACCACACACGTGACTTCCATTCTTCTGCAGACTCGCCATCCACGGCCATACCCCTGCTGTCGCCACTGAATTCCCCCCCAAAATACGAGAATTCCTCGGGGCTTGTCCACAGACCACCGCTGGAGAGAAAAATTAACGGTAGATAAGGTGCTGAGACTCTGACACCAAATATGTTAGATGTCACATGGCTTCAATAAAGGGATCAGGATATACATGAAGCTGTTACACTGTGAAGAAAAAATCAAAGGGATTGTTAAGAATCAAAAGTCTGGGCCTGACAGACACTTACGTTGGGGTGTGGTAGTTGGAGGGGCAGTGGTTGTAATTGGTGGCAGGCCTGTACAGGTGACGTTAAGGTCGCTGTCAGTCCCCCTGGAAGTGAAGGTGATGAAGCCTGGGTCGTTGGTGGTGATCTGTTCATCAATCCAGGTCTGGAACTCAGACACTCTGGTGTAAACTCCTGGAAAGTTTGCCAAGGCACAACCA